TCTTGGTTATCTAGTCTCCAGAACTGTGAGAAAATAAATTTTTGTTCTTTAAGCCACAACCCATGCTGTTCAAGGATCAACCGTACATGAATTTCAAATCAGGCAAAACCCATCTATGGTGATAGTAGTCAGAATGGTGGTTATTCTTGGAGGAGGTACTGACTGGGAGGGTACCACATGGAATGCTGGAAGTGTTCTATATTGTAATACGAGTGATGGTTAAAAAAGTTTATATGTGTAAAAGTTCAAGCTCTACACAATATTTCTACATTTTACTCTATGTAAGTTATTTCTCAATTTAAAATGAATGTTTAAAAAAAAAACCCCAGTGGTATTGGCACAGTAATGGATAACTAGATCAGTGGAGCAGAATATATAATCCAGAAATAAACTCATGTATGAAAGAGCTTTTGGGTTATGAAACCCTGCCTGTGATTCTTGGCCCTTTAGGTGGCCACCTTGCGACTTCAATGGGATCCAGCCTACAAGGAAAAGCAAGTGGGCCAAGGATGGCAGAAAAGAGGATGGGAAGAACCTGAGTCCTTGGAGAACATTAATGAACCCCAGAATTAACCATCTCTGGAAGCCTTACCTCAGAGTGTCTTACTATTTGAGATTTGAAAAACTTGACTTTAAAAGCATCTTCACTGAGAACCAGTTAGGAAGTCACTGAAGTAATTCATGTGAGACTCCGCCTCCCCAGCAGCTTACATGCAGCTCCTCCCCAGAGAGCCACAGACTTTCAGAATAAACCCGCAGAAGCTTATTCCCACCCTGGGGTTAGAGGCTCTGGAACAAGGGGCATCACTCACCTGTCCTATCAACATCCTTTTTCATGGGCAGTACAGTATAATCTGGTTGCTCCTCTGAGGACTCACACATCCATGACTTGGGCTGCAGTGTGGATTGGGACCCTTTCCGAGGACTCCCCAGGTCTCCAGCCCAATCCTCCGACCCCTCGTGAGGCTGAACCTGCTGTAGGTACGGGATTCGGAAAATCCTGTTTTGGTCCAGGCTTAACTTCTTCAATCTTCAGTTAAGGAAGGTGAATACAGAATCACAGAAATAATTACACGTTAGGGACATTTAGCAAGCCACTTTAGGGAAGGAACATGGAATCAGTCTTGGGCTCTTATTCCTCTTGTGTGACCTTGAGCCAGTGACTTACCTTCCCTGGGCCTCAATATTCTTAACTCTAAAGTGGGGATAATATTTATTAACCTTTCAAGGTTCTTGTGAAGATTAAAGGCGACAATGAAAATGGCCTGGCACAAAATAGTATTCAGTAAGTGGTAGCTAAAGCCAAAGTAAATTTTCTAGGGATCTAAAGCTTAACCATGTAAGTGCCAGCATTTTCATTACTTTAACCAAATAGTGGTTAAACTTAACTTTCTGATTCTGGGTCTTTTTTTCCTGTCTCCTCTCTCAGCGTCAGGATCCTGTCTCCTCCTACCCTCCTTTCTCTTTGCTGCTTCTAAGCCACACAATCAGAAATGTCCTTACTGATGCTCTGCTCTTACGGCTGAGCTAAAGCTCAGAGGGGAGAAATGATTCACCCATGGCCACACAGCAGAGATAAGTGATAGAACTGGAATTTAAACCTGGGCACCCAGCGCACACCCAGGGTGTGGGCAGGGCTGGGGGTTATAGAGGGCCCTGCGGAGACGGGCTGTGGCTTTACCTCCTGAGCCCGGCTAGACTGGCAAAGCAACTGGGGTTGGAGAGTTTGTTGTCATCGAGCATCAGTGTCTCCAGGGCTGGGAACCTCAGGACGTACCTCTTGCTTGTCAGCGATGTTATAGATGCCTCCCTGTGAGGACAAAGATCTTGGGTGCAGAGCAAGGGCAGGGGATAAGCTCCACCATCCCCAGGAAGAAATGGAGGATAAGGCATGAGCCAAGTGGTGTAACCAGTTTGGGAACTTCTCTAGTGCAGAAGGGACCAGGAGATGTAGATCTTTTCCCGAACGACCCCTTCCACAACCCCACTCATATATACAGTCTTCTGTATGGAGAGGGGCTGCACACATTCACTGACAGACTCAGTGAGACTGGGTTGGGGCAGGATGGCGGGGGGGCACTAGCAGTGCTCATGGAAAATACCAGAGTGAATGAGGCATGGACTGAACTGGGGGGAAAGCACTCTGCAGGAAGAATGCTGTACATTTTGGGGTCAGGGCAGACTCCTAGGTATGCTGTGTCACCCCAAGGACTGGTAACCACAGGAGCACCTGGAGACAATGCCCTTGGCATGGGCCACAGCTCTGCCCCCGAGTGATGTAAGGGAGGCCAGCTGCAGTGGGGCTGTCCTCTAAAGTGACTTCATAAAATACACACATCAGAGAGGAACTGAAAGTCTCTTTTCAAATTCAACTCTTTGAGGGTTCCCAACACCTGAGAATGGGATTCAACAGTCTGAGGTCCTGAGTCACACATGTGGGGCAGGAAATGGTGGCATTTTAGATACTACCATTAACTTGACCTCATTTTTGTCCCCAGGTGGATAAGGCCTAGGTAATTCTTTTTAAGTACGCAAAGGTAGATGACTCAAATCATGTTTCCATTCCTCCCTCCAACTCCATCCCCTCCACATGCCCAAATACATACACAAACACACACATCCAGTCACAAATACATAGAGATACATATAAACCACAAACAAGAGGAAGGGAAAGTAACACTTCTTCAGAGCCTACCGAATTCCTGGAATTGCATTAGGTATTTTATATGGGTCATCTCAGAACAGCACTGAGGGGACAGGTGTTACCTCCTTTTCAGATGAGGAAACTCAGAGTGACTCGCCTAATGTCTTATAGCTAGACAGTGGGAGCTCAGACTTGACTCAAAACCCCAGGCCCTTTTCTGCAGCACCCACCTCTCACATCACATCTTCCAGCTCCATGTGGATTAAAAGGTGGGGATACGGAATGGTAGCTGTTGCTGGGCCAGAGAGAGCTTGATGAAGATAGACAGTGAGTTCAAAAGTTCGAAAGGACTAACAGTATACCTAAAGTCAGGAATATTTCAGAGGTGAATTTAGAGAGGGTATATAGTCATCCATTCATACTCATGAATTTCTTTTTTGTTTGTTTGTTTAAAGATTTTTTTTTTTATTTGGAGAATTGAGGGATGGGAACAGTGCTGGGGAATCGGGGAAGGGGAACAGACAGGTTGCTGTCCTTTTGTTCTTCAGTCTAGTTGTGGAGGACGTTGCTTCACTGGCCCAAGTTGGCACCATCATTGTGCTTTTCCCGGGCAAGGCAGATCAGTCGTCGGCTTCTGGACAGCCACTCACTGTGGCTGCTGGCCGCTCACGCTGGCTGCTGGCTACCCATGGCAACCCACTGCAGCAGGGGCTGCAGCCTACGCCATCGCCGGCAACTCATGGCAGCCCAGCTCCAGGTTGAGCCTACCGTTCAGCATCTTAGCTGTGGAGGGCAGTGTCACAGGCCCTCATATGTGGGATCCGAACCAGGGTCTTCTGGCTTCCGAAACCAGCTCTTAACCAACGCGCCACTCAGCCGGCCCATGAATTTCTTTAACAAGACATTTATGGAGCCAGGTACTGGGAATACAGGGAGAAAAAGAATATATCCCTCTCCTCGAATTGTTTACAGTCTTGTGGAGGAGGGGGACACACTGCACACAGGTGAGAAGTGGTGAGAGTCGCCCACTCTGGTGGGGAGGACCCCGGAGAGGCAATGCTTAAGCTAAACCATGAAGAATGGAGAGGGAATTGACTGTGCTCTTAACCAACGTGAGAGAGGGAGAGGGGCAGGGAGAAAAATCATCTCTTTGTGACTGAAGCTATACTATATTTAGAAGCTCTGGGCAGTCATGTTTCCCATCTTGGGGCCCAGAGAGACACGGCAGCTCACCTGTAAAGAAAACTGAGGCGAGTCACAGACAGGAGCAGATGTGGAAGCTGAGAGCCAGGACTTCCGGGTGCCTCTGTAATGCTCAGGTGGCTGTGGGATTCCCCAATGTCCTCCTAGTAAATGTTTTCCTTCACTGTTACTCTAATACTGATGGACTTTGGTAGATTCCAACCATGACAGTTCTGACTAAAAACCCCCAGGTCATATGTGGTTTCAGATACAGTTAGCAGGAAACTATACCCAGAGCTGGGAACAGGTATGGTTCCAGGGACACTCAACAGGGAAGGAAAAAGGCCCTTGTTCTTGGTATTTCAAGGTCACAGATGGCTCTTTTCCTCATCCTGAAAGGACCGACTTTCATACACTGAATTTTTAATTTCTACCTGAAAGCAGTTATAGGAGGGTGCACAGCAGCTCTGTTGATTTATAATTCATTGGCCAATCTTTATTTTACTCCAGCGAAATATAAAACAGCTGCGTAATAAGCCTTCAAAAAATTCCTCTTATACCCCATACAGAGAAGCTGGCTCCGTCCTGCCTCTCGTGGCAAGTTACAGTGCTTTGCCTTTTAAGTGACTGAATGGACGTGTGGGGTGAAGGAGGGGAGAATTCAGGCTGGTGCTCGGGTCTCTAGCCTGGACGACGGCACAGTGGATGGAGAGCAGTGATCACCACTGAGGCCAGGGACACAGGAGGAGGAGATATTGGCCCGGGCATGTGTGTGATGGGTTTGGTATGATAAGCAGGCGGTGTGGGCTTGTAGCTCAGAAGATAGAAGTGAGGTAGAGAAAGAATTAAGACTTGGGAGGGAATGAGACCACTAAGAAGGAGTATAAAGATTAAGAGAGGGCCGGCCGAGTGGCGCGATGGTTAAGAGCTGGCTTGGGACGCAAGAGGGCCCCAGTTCGGATCCCACATATGAGGGCCAGTGACACTGCCCTCCACAGCTAAGATGCTGAACAACAGCTCAACCTGGAGCTGCCAGGAGTCACCGGCAACAGCGTAGGCTGCAGCCCCTGTGGCAGTGGGTTGCCATGGGCTACCGTGTGTAGCCAGCAGCCAGCGTGAGCGTCCAGCAGCCACAGTGAGCGGCCGCCCAGAAGCCGGTGACTGATGTGCCTCGCCCGGGAAGAGTGCAATGACGGTGCCAACTTGGGCCAGTGAAGCAACGTCCTCCACAACTAGACTGAAGAACAAAACAAGAGCAACTTGTCTGTTCCCCTTCCCCCAATTCCCCAGCATTGTTCCCATCCCCCCAATTCCCCAATAAAAATCTTAAAAAAAAAGATTAAGAGAAACAGTGGGTTGAGAGAGGAGAACTGGGACCACCAGCATTTAAGAGGTTAGCAAAGATGAGGGATCCACAGATGCGTGTGGACAGGTGAGTGAGAAGAAAATGACAGTGATATTTGTCTGGAACCTCCCAGCTTTCAAAGCACAGTTATTTCAGTTGATACGGATGTAAGTTGGAGTACATTTATTTTCCCTATCTTATATGTAAAGACACAGAAGTACAGAGTGGTGGAAACTTGCCTTAACTTTATGTAACAAGACTTTCCACTGAAAACAACTAGAATAATGAATAAAATATAAAAACAAAAAAGATCTATCATTTAAAAACATGTAGGAGACATGAAGAGAGTAAGGGAGTAGTAGTAAGCCAAAATCTAAAACTCCAGAGACAGAAACTGAGCCCTTGAAGCCACTTTTGCCTCCAAGGCTTATGCTGATCTTGTTGAAACAGAAGAAGGGGCACGTAATTGAAGATCCCCTACATGAATCTGGGATCCTAAGGAGACGCACCCTCAGGAGTGAGTGAACCAGAACTACACCCATTCCCCTCATCCACAGCCAGGGAAAGGCTGCCTTGAAGTGAACAGACAAGGGGAGTGGGGAGATAGACTGGTCCTCTCACAAAACTGTAGCCCAAATTTGTATCATCAGAGTGATTCAGAAAATATCAAGCTAGTTTAGTTTAGTTTAAAATGGTTCCATACTGAGTACCCCTAGGCACCTGACCAAAATAAATGGGAAGATTTATGGTATTGCAGACTAAATAATGTGGGTCAACTTTCCCCCGAATGTAGATGAGAAAATCCAGACAAAATATATACATAAAAAACAATCTTCTTTAAGGTATCTGGGAACTAACCAGCTGTAAAAAATAGGGAGGGGGCAAGATTTGGAAGAAGATATGCACAGGGGTTCATGCAATATTTGGGGCTACTTTTTCCCTAGAGCTGTGTGCTGACTCCAGTAGTGGCAGAGAGGCTGAAAGTCTCACAGCCAAAACAAAGGGTCTAGGAATTAATGAATGAAAATGAGAGCAGCTCTTCTTACAATTATGAGTATACCTCACAATCTACTTGCAGCATTTTTGCTTCTCATTCCTGCAACTTCGAGCTCTTCTGAGTTAGAGGTCTTAGTTTCCTAAGAAACAATGCTTTTCCAGGGGACACAAGAATAGTTCCACTTAGCTGGAAGTTGTGTTTGCTGCTGCCCATGTGGGTTTCTCATCCACTGAACCAATAGGCAGGAAAAGAAGGGTTTACTATGTTGCCTGGGTGATTGACACTGATTATCAACAGTAGATATGATTACTGTTATACTTTGAGGGCAAAATGGAGTATGTTTAAAATCCAGGGAATTGTGTGGTGCTCTTCTCAGAAGTGTCATGTCCATTAGTCAAAGTTAATGGAATTTCTGCAAGGTTAAAAGAGTTCAGGAGAGGGATGGGGATGATGGTTGCACAACAATTTGAATGTGCATAATGCCATTAAACTGTACACTTAAAAATGGTTAATATGGGAAGGCTTCTGATAGAGAAAGGAGGAGGGTCTGAGCTAGCCCTTGGAATATGTACAGAATCTACATAAAAAGAGAATGTAGGGCCGGCTGAGTGGCTCGTTGGTTAGGAATTGGCTTGGGACCCCAGCTCTGAGCAGCAGGGCCCCGGTTCAGATCCCACATGGGCCAGTGATGCTGCACCCTCTACAGCTAAGATGGTGAACAACAGCTCCACCTGGAGCTGGGCTGCCATGAATCACCAGCAATGGCGGAGGCTGCAGTGGGGCTGCAGTGGGCTGCCGTAAAGCTATCAAGAGTGGCTGGCACCCTGTGTGAGCTGCCAAGAGCTGCCATGAGTGGCCGTCTAGTCGCCGGCGACCGATCTGCCTCACCCGGGAAGAGCGCAATGATAATGCCAACCTGGGCCAGTGAAGCAACGTCCTCCACAACTAGACTGAAGAACAAAAGGACAGCAACTTGTCTGTTTCCCTTCCCCGATTCCCCAACACTGTTTCCCTCCCCCAATTCCCCAATAAAATCTTAAAAAATAAAATAAAATAAAGGAGAATGTAATGGTCGTAAGTGTGGTCTCCGGAGTCAGGTGGACTTGGTTCAAATCTTGGCTCTGCCACTTACTAGCTTTGTAACTCTGGGTGAGTTATTTAACCTATCTGTGCCTCAATTTCCTTGTCTATAAAATTGGATAATAGGACACCTACCTCATAGGATTGTTGATGAGTTAATAGGTGTCAAGTGCTGAAAACAGTGTCTGGCACATAGTAAGCACCACATATGTGTTACTGTTATTAGGAGAAGAAGGACTAGTACATTCGGGCCAGAAGGCATGGCCTCAGCAGATGTGCAGAATGGGAATATGCAAAGCTTATTTAGAGGATTCGTGAAGGGAAATAGTCTGGTGAGAGCAATATCCACAACTAACCAGTGACCAGTCACAGGCAGGGAAAGTGACTAGCCAGCCCTTTGTGTCTCTCCTAATACCACAGAGGAGTATGGGACACCCATCTGAGGCCTCCCCATCCTTTGGGGGCCCTGCTCCCATGGCTGCCTTTTCTGGGAGCCTTGATACGTGGCATTCTCCCTGCTTTGAGCACTCAGCCTGTCTTTACCGAACTTCTAAGATACAGTGGACTATTTCCTTGGATACTTGCACCCAGACAAAGGTTCACCAGGAAAAACGTGGGACGGAGTCTGGGATGTAGGACTTACTGCTCTGCGACAGCCAAGTTTGGTGGCAAGGAGGTGAGCTCGTTGCCTGTGAGGAGCAGGACACGGAGCTTTGGCAGAATCCCCAGGTCACAGATGGCCTCTGCAGTCAGGCTGTTGAAGGAAAGGTCCAGGAACTACGGTGCAAAGACAAAAGATGGGGGAACAGAAACACTATACATGACAATGATGTTCATACATGAGGTAGGAGCTAGCTACTTTTTTCTTTTTTTACTTTCCAGGAGACCCCTATCCCCCAGAGGCTAAAACCCTTCTGGTTCTCTGGATTAACATTTAATCCAGAATCAGTCACCAACCTATCTGCCAGCCTCAGCTCTCACTGCAAACCTTAGTTTATCTTTTGGTGCTGGCCAAAGTGACTTCTCCCCATTCTTTGTCTCACCCCACCTAAAGATATTTGCTTGAGCTTTTCACTCAACCAGAAATGCCCTTTCTCCATGTGTCTCAATCCAAGCCCCAAAAGACCAGCTCAAAAGCTGCCTCCTTATAAAACCTTTCGTAATTCTCCAGCCAGATGGAATCTCTTCCTCCACTGACTTTGAGATGCTTTATCTAGATTGCTCTGGGGGTCTTTCTGGGAGTTGGCCAGGTATCTGTGAAAGCTGGATATGTGTCTGAGGAACAGGAATATTGGTACATGGATGGGCCTAGCAGAGTCCTGCACACATTGGTAGACTAGACCATAAACTCTGAGGTCAAGGGCTATGCCGCTATATCTCTGTATCTTTATAACCTTGCTTAGGATCTGGCACATAGTAGGCACACATAAAAGAAAAAAATCATCTGAAAAGAACTGGCTTATGAGGACAATGACCCAAACCGTCACCCCATCAACCACCACCTTCCAAATGACCACCTAGATTAATGAGATAGTTGACTGGGATCAGGGGGACAGTCAGGAAACAGTTTCTCTCTGCAAAGACAAAGGCAATTGGGATAAATGATGTTAGCCCAGTCTTTGTTCTCTCTCTTCTGAGCCTCTCTAGACATTCACTTCAGCTCTTATGTACAAGTCCACTTCCCTTCCACCTACAAGACTCACTGAAGCCTGTTGAATGGGGCCAGTTTCAGCATCTTATCCAGCTGGTGCAGGAGCAAGGTCTTTGGTTGGCCACTTAAGTGTCACATGGTCAGTCAGATATACACACAACTGACTGCAGGTCACTGCCAGGGGAGGACCAGGTTTGGTCTGACTCCACTGTAGTAATTACTAATAATCAGTGCGCTCTGTAGACCTGGCTAATGGCGTGATCTTGGGCAAATGACCTAACCTGAGCTTCCTTATCTGTAAAGTGAAAATAATAATGGGCTCTTATGAGGAACTATGTAGTTAAAGCCTTTCTCTTTAGCATGGAATCTGGTACTAGGAAATGCTTATGGCTGTCATCATCATCATCATCACCATCCCTTCATTGAAGGCCCCCATACTGAAGGCTTACTTTGAACCGGTCCCTGCCTTCTGAAAGTGCACAGCCTAGTTAAGCAGCTAGATACATATATGTGTCTGTTAAAGAGCAATGCTGCTGGGATAGATGTCTGAGCACAGACCAACTGGGGGCACAAAGGAAGGAATGGTCATCTCTGCCGGGTCCAGGCGGGCTTCCCAGAGCTTGAGCTGTCCTCAGAGACTAGTCAGTATTCACCAAATTATTAAGAGCAACAAGACATGCAGTGCAGCAAGTGGCATGTAAAAAAGCCAGGAGGCAGGAGGCAGCCTTTCTTGTTCTGGGAACTGCAAATGGTCTGGAGATGACTAGAGTCCATGTTATCAGAGAAACCTTGATAAGGCTGGACAGGCCATGACAGGCACCAAGCACCTAACGAGCTCCACGTTCATGATGCCAGCAGCATATTCCAAGTTCTGAGAGTTCACACAAAGGGGTGATCCCACTTGGCAGGGGCAAAGAGAGAAGCCTTCGAGGAGGAAGACCTGGAAAGCCAGCTCAGATAAGCACAGGTAAGGAAGGTGGGGAAAATCCTCTCCCTCATACCTACACATCGGCAGTCAACAGACAATGGCTTTTACTTCCTTACTATCTCTCACACTTGTTCCCTCCAACCCATTTTTCATACAGCAGCCATAGTGGTTTTTCTAAAATACAGTTCTGATCCAATTACTCCTCAGCTCCAAACCCTTCAATGGATCCCTATTATCCATAGGGTAGGGTTCAAATTCCTTAGCAAGACTTCAAGGCTCTCCACAGTCTTCCTTCTGTGACCTCTCCAGGTTCATCTGTCATGACACTCTACTGTGTCTCAGTCTCCATTCACCCTTGTTTCTAGTTCAGGGGCTGGCAAACGAAGGCCTGTGAGCCAAATCCAACCTGCCGCCTATTTGGTTTGGCCTGTGAGCTAAGAATGATTTTTAAATGGTTGAGAAAAATCAAAAGAAAAATAACATTATGTGAAAATTATGTGAAGTTTTATTGGAACACAACCCTGCTCATATGTTGACGTATCATCTATGGCTGCTGTCCTACAGCAGCAGAGTTGATTAGGTAAGACCATAGGGATCGCAGAGCCTAAAATCTTTACTGTCTGGCCTCTTGCAGAAAAAGTTTGCTGACCCTTGTTCTAGAAGCTTTGGCTATTTAATGTTAGGTCCAAATTTGCTTTCCACAGAATGAAGGGCAGCTCAAAGAAATAAACAGCCTCAGAATCACAGGTCACAGAATTTCATGGTGGGCCCAGAATTGACAGAGGGGGAAACTTAAGTCCCAGAGAGGGTGAGTTATTTGGCCAAGCAGATATGCCACAGTAGTGGCAGGACCAAGCCTAGAAACAAGGTCTCCAGACTCTCAGGGCAGGGCTCCAGCGGATCCTTTTTTAGACCTGGTTGCAGAGAATCAAATCATAGCAAAGTTAAATTCTTCTAACTTGACTCCTGAAGAGTTCTACGCTGGGTGGCAGCCTTTCTGGCAAACAAGGGCAGAAGATTCCCAACCTGGCTACTGTGTCTGCTAAGTCACATCACATTTTATCATACATCAAAGTATTCATTTCTGTGAGCTGCAAATTCGGGACGTTTGACAGGTTTATTCTTTTTCTTGGAGAGCTCTTGCAAATCACAGAGAGGTGAAAACAAATGATTGGCCAAACTATTTGCTCTTCTCATTCTACATTGTGACTTTGGTCTGCTTTATTATGTAAATAAATTCCCTTGGGTGGGGCTGGGTTTGCTGGATAAATAATTTTCATCAGAAGCTAGCAAAAGATGAAGTAGCGCCTCCAAGAAGTCAATCATGATGAACCAGTGGATCCAAGCAAGTCAGCTGTGGGGTCAGAGCCTGAAGTCATGTCCCCTCCCCATGGCCCACTGGCACTTGAAATAGGGGTTTGAAATGGTAGGGTGAGGAAGACAAGATGCATGGCACCACAAGATACACGACACACAGGAGCTCGATAACTACTTTTTAAAAAGTAAAATAATGAATAAATGGAAGTTTGTAAGAAGCTCCCAGACCTATAGGTCAGGGTAATGGCTCCCTGTATCTCTAGAGCATCTGGAACCTGTTTCCCACTATCTATACCAACATCTAGTACAAAATGTTTTTAACATAGCACAAAATTGCATCAGTTGTAAATTTACTCTTTCTGTTTTACTGGACTTTCAGGAGCTAAGCTTCCTGCACTAGTATGAGGACAACTCCTGTTTCAAATCATAGAAATCCCTGTTATCTTCAATGTAACTTGAAACCACAGAGAGAAGGTACCATTACATTCAGTATAGCATGCTATAAGAATGCAAGGATATATACTCCATTTTAGAAAGACTGCCATCCTAAACAGTTAAAATTTTTTAAAACTTTGGCTTATAAAAGACATCAACTTTCTCTCTGGCAATACCAGGTTAGGTGAGGCTTTTGTGAAGAATGGCTGACCACTGATGTTTGCAGATTAAATTATTTAAGTGACCAACTCCTTGGGATCAACCCGAAGGTTAATGACATGCAGACATTTTGCTGATGTTTGAATCGGAAACACTTGTACTATAAACACTTGTACTACTTGTGTGGGGGAAGGGTCCATTATTCAGTGAGTGAGCCTGACCCGACTTCCAGCCCCACACCTTGCTCCAGCTCTGTTGTTCTCTACTCTCCAAGTATATATATAGACTCTCAGATGGTTACAAAAGCTCTGTTTCTTTTTGAAAAGTAGTTCTAAAGTTTTCATGGAAGTGGAAGAAGTGAATAACTTGAAGTATGAGAATATACATAGAAAATCCATTACTCTGGGAAATTTAATTTAGGAGAAAGCCAAGAACGCAAACAGATTTTTCTGTATTTTTGAATCTGGCGTTTGGAGAACAGCTGTGTATGCTGCAGAACTCATAGGAGCCCTATTTTATTTCACACTCATCTCTGGGCCTCTAAACTAGGCCTATAACCTGCCTTATCCAAGCCCATTGGAACCAATCTGGCTCCCTCAGGCCACAATGGGTCTCTGGAATCAGTCCATAATGCTCTAGTTCAGCTGCTCCAATCTGCTATGCCTAGCACTTAACCACCATGTCTCCTGAACCTCCACTGGACCCAGATCACCCCTTAAACTCTCCTTCCTATAATACTCTGTTGAAACTCACTTTTCTTTTTCTTTCTTTTTTTTTTTTTTTTAGAAATTTTACTGGGGAACAGCATGTTTTTCCAGAAACCATTAGCTCCAAGTCAAGTAGTTGTCTTCAATCTAGTTGTGGAGGGCACAGCTTCTTGGCCCATGTGGGAATCGAAGCGGCAACCTTGGAGTTATGAGGCTGTGCTCTAACCACTTGAGCTAACCGGCTGCTCCGAAATTCACTTTTCTTTACAGACTTTTTTGGCATTTATTTCCCACAATCATGCACCACGGCCATGGGTATAATATATTCTCATCTATTTGCCACTGCTGCCACTGCCACCACCACCAACCACCCTCCCCAGAGGACTCCCCTAAAGCAAGGGTCTGGCCCTGGTAAGGGCCCAGACAGGCTCTTCCCAATAGTTATAAGCAGTAGAGAGAGACCTCTACACCCATTACTAACAAGGAAACAGGTAGGCACCAAAAACTCCCTACCTCCAACTTACTTCCAAGAACTTAAAGTCTCCATATTTCACGTAGACAGTTTCGATGCCATTAAATGCGAGCTCCAGTTCCTTTAAGGCTGGAAACGTGTGAAATGCCTCTATAGGGATATATAAGGAGAAAGACAGACTCTGTAGCTTGTGAAGGACTTAAAAGGTATTAGCAGTAGTCATTTACTGGGCTCCCACTGGGTTAGGCCAGGCACTGTGTAAGGTGATTTACACACATGGCCTCTAAATCTCTAACAGCCCTGAAAAATAGGGCTTACTACTTTCATTCTACTGCTGAGGGTTCCAGGCTCAGCTAGGCTAAGTGATTTGCTAGCCAAGAACTGAATATAAGTCTGTCTAACTCCAAAGCCCATTTAAACATTTATAATAAAATATAATAAAAATAATAATTTCTGATTATAAAAGTAACACATGCCCCAAAAAGTAAAAAAAAAACAAAAAAAAACCTGAAAAATAATAGTTCCATTTAATCTCAACACCCAGAGATAATTACTGAAAATCCCATATATATATATATATATATATATATATATATATATATATATATACTCCAGACTTTTCTTTCTCTTATGAGTATACGGAAACACACACATGCTTCTTTTTATAAAAATGGGGAATCATACCATTCACGTTGTACTGTGACTTGCTTTTTTCCCCTTAACAATATGACTTAAAGATTGTTCTATCTCAAAACATATAGCTCTGTCGAATGTCTGAATTATGTTCTATAGTATAGACATATTTAACCATTCCCCTATTGGTGGCTTTTAGGCTCTCTAGATAAAAGGTAAAGGCACTTTTTCCCTTCTGCATAATGACTGGACCTTGGGTTAACTTCCTAGCCCTGTTCCTCTGGTAACCTGGAACAAATGGTATGGTAACTATGTTACTAGGTAATATTGCTGTGGTAAAAATGACCCCAGATTGGTAAATCACAGCTGGACTAGGAGAAACTATAAACGAACAAGAAACATCTGAAGGAGGCACCATAGCTCTGGGCTTCCCTGTGTGTGATGACCTCCTATATAACTGGACATGTGCTTTGCAGGAACTCCAGGAGCTATGTCTATGGAGTGTTACAATGGCTCTTTGCTCCTGTGGGGGAGGAGGTTTCTAAGCCAGAGTGGCTGCTGCATTCACCCAATGAGAGTCTTGTTGTCTTGGACCCGAGCTGGGGGCCACAGGAAATGGCTCCCGGATGGCTGCACGGACTGCTACATGAAATGCTTTGAGGGCTTCACTGAATAGGAACTGCTGGTGCTGTGGGCTGGCATGCTGTGTGGGATTACTGAGTGCCTTCTAAGTGAACCTGGTGTTAAGTGTGGCCTATGGTGGGCTTGTGAATCAGAATGTTCAGTAGAGCCCAATAAAAAGGCTTCTTGGTGGATATTTTAGGATGTTTCCAATGAACATCCTTGTACAAGTGTGTTTCTGTAGAATAAATTCCTAGAAGTGGAGCAACGAGATTAAGGGCAATGACTATTTCAAGAGACAGTGTCAAATTGCCTTCCAAAGATGTCGCACTAATTTATCACACTTCTGCCAACTGAACATGAGAGGATCCATTTCCCTACCAATGCCAACTGTCATTGGTCCTCGTTTTTGCCCATTATTTGATAGGTATAAAATAGTATTTTAATGCTGTTTTAATGATTAGTGAGGCGGAGCATCTTTTCATAGGCCTGTTGGCTTTTGTATTTCAAGCCCATGTTTCTGACAGACCATACTGTTTCCTTAGGGTCAGGGACTTTGTCACATGCTTCTTTTAAAACACCCCTCCAACTCAACGCATTCAAACTGAACTCATTCTGTTCCTCCCCACAGCCGCCTCTCCGCTAGTGCTGTCCGTCTCAGTGAATCCCCTTTGCTATCCACATGTGTATTAGGCACCAAGTCCTGTTATTGCTAAGTCTCCTGTTTCTCTCTCTATTCCTTTTACCCCTATTGCCATGGCCCTGGTTCAGGCCTCATCTCTCCTCCCTGGAAAAATAAAACCATCTCCCAGGTTTCCTGGCCTCTGTCTTCTTCTAATTCACCCTCCTCGCAGCCACCCCTGAACCTCTCTGTTTAAAAGCCTCCCAGGGCTCTCTTTGCCTGTGGGACTGAGTTCAAGTCACTGAGGGCCCTTGATAATCTAGTCCCTGCCAACCCTTGTAGTCTCCAGTCTCTCCGACCTGCATCCCTTGCAAACACACCAAGCCTCTTCAGGGACCTGGATGGGGCACTGCCCTCCCACATCTGCTCTGTCAGACTGAAATGCCTCCTGGCCTTCTGATTCCTGAGTCTCTCCTATTCACTTTTTAGGTCTCAGCTTAGGTTCTCCTCTTCTCAGAAGTTTCTCCTGACACTCTGGCCTGAGTTGATGTCATGCTTATACTCTTGCATAGCGTTTTCTGATTCCCTCCATCACTGATTGCACTTACCGAATTCTGCAGTAACTGTGTCTGAGCCTGTCTCTCCCACCAAACTGACTCACCACAATAGGAACTGGACACATTCATCTCTATAAGCCAAGCATTCACACAGTCCTGATACCCAGCAGGGGTCGCTGTGGATTTGCTGAATAAACAAGAAGGCTTTATGCTCCAATAGGAGCTCTCTGGGCTTAAAAACATCTTTATATACCTAGCTCACCTGAGCCTACCAGACATCTTGCCTTGGGGAGGACAAAACAAAGGGAATTATCTCCATTTGCAGGTAGAGAAGCAGCAGCTCACAGAGTAATGTTCTAAGTAGGTAGTGTCCGCTCTGGGCTAAAATCCAGGTCTGTGTTCTCCAGGTCTGTGTTCTCCAGCACCCAGCTTATTGCTCTCCAAAAAAGGATGCACAGCCAGTCGTGGATGGGCTGACAGGCAAGTTCCAACACGAGTGACCGGCTGTGCTGGCCAAGAGGCAGAAGATAGTGTTCAGGAAGAAAAAGCTCACCTAGAGGCAGCTGGTTTTCTGAGGCATTGATGTAAATCACAGAATGAAAATGCTTGAAGTCATTTTCCTTAGCCTGTGGGAAGGCATTTCGAAAGAATGTTCAGAAAAGTATAGTGAACAACACTCTGAAGACCCCTGTAACCATTATCCAGCTTTAATAGGTCTGGATATTTTGCTGCCTTTGCCTTAAATTTCTTTAATCAGCTTAACAATAACCCACAGCCTTCGGACCAACTTTAAATTTCTTTAAAGAAATAAAACATTTCAGAGAGTTGACCCCCCACCTCCAACATGTCCCTCCCCAGTTGCATTCTTCTCCCTTTCTCCCACAGACAATAGCCATCCTGACTTGGTGATTATCATTCTCATACCTGTTTTATACTTGTATTATATATATGTGTACCCATAACCATATATAGTATTATTTGCATGTTTTAAAACTTTACATTAAATGCAATCATTCTGTAGATATCGTTCTGCAACCTGCCTTTCTCACTATGTTTCTGATATTTACTTGTTGATACACATAGCTCTTTTGAGGTTTATTTGTGTTGATATGTGTAGCTCTAGTTAATTCATTTTCAGTGCTCGATAGTGAAACAAGCAATCTCTCTTCATATGCCATGGGAAGCCTATAAACCAAAAATATATGTCATAATATCCTGTATATACAGTGGTTAATGGTAGGCCACACATTTGGCTCCAAGCTACCTGTTAGCCAATGCAAAGAAGTAAACATGCCTCATTACATGAGTCACAGTGTAAGTTAGGAACAAACCAGCATCTTGGGAGAACCATTACCACTCCTGGCAATGAAACCTGACAGCAATTCCTCCTATTGGCTTTTTTATTTTTATTTTAAAAATTTTTTTATTGGGGAACAGCCATGGTCATTGGTTACACATTGCTTTCATGCTACAATGCCGTAGTTGACTCTTTTAGGGAGAGCACAGCTCACAGTGGCCCATGCAGGGATCGAACCAGCAACCTTGGTGTTATCAGCACCACGCTCTAACCAACTGAGCTAACTGGTCACCCTCCTGTTGGCTTTTTAAGGGGAACTCTGTCACATAATGAATCATACCCTAACAAAATTCTATGGCAAATTCAAACCCACTTCCATAAGCCTATTTCCTTTCATTTACCTCAAATGGGGCAACGGTAACACCAAATTTAGAGCAAGAGATTGTGTCTAAATGTTGTTTCCACCTGATGAGTCCTTGTCTGATCCTCCCACTCCCTTGTGACCAGATTCCCATTCTCCAGGGAATGTGGAAGTCCAATGGACACATAGCCAGGAGCCACCTCAGGTCTGGCTCACCCCAATCACGTCTCTGCTGGCTGGCCTTACCTTGGAAAACTTCAGGCCGCTCACGTTAACATTGCACAGGTCGGACGGCTTCTTCACGCAATGGTACTTCAGCTGGAACACAGTGCAGAGAGTCAGCTCTCAAGGCCCCAGCAAAGTTTATCTAATTGGCCAAGACAGCAAATGACTCCCTGTGGAAGAAGGCGGCCTGCCTGGTACGGTGAAAAGAGCGTGGGCTTGGGAGTTACCGAGCTGCCGTCTCAGCAATTCCACATCTCGGTTTCCCATCTGTAAGTTGGGATCAGTCACATTGACTTTATGGGGTTCTTAGGATTCCTTCTTCTCTGTTCCTTCTATGTCTTTTCTGGTCTCCACTTCCTCTATCTGCCTCTTAAAAAATCTGTGTTTCTGGGGCTTTACCAATCTCATACATTTGCCATAATTTGTTCCTTTGTTCATTCATCCATTCATTCATCCACTCATTCATTCACCAAATATTTACTAAGTACTACTTTGTTTGGGTCATGTATTATGCTAAATATATCAACAAACTTCTAATTTTAACTAAATCCTTTGACATAAGTTTGATTACCTCCCTTTTTAAATGAGAAAAACGAGGCCGAGAGAGATAATGCGCCTTGCCTAGATCCTACAGTAAGTGACAGATCATGGATTTGAATCTAAATCTGTCATCACTAAACTCTGTGCTCTCTTGACATGTGGCCCCATATAGTTAAAAAGTTGGAAGAATCTCAGCTTTGGAGCTTCTGTTTCTGTTTAACCAAATCTCATTGTTTTCCTGCTATCATTTATTTATGGTACGTATTATGTTTAGACATAGACCCATGCATTGGAAAGATAATGAAGAAAAGACAAAAATATTCCAGGCCTGCATAGAACTTACAACTGCATGAAAGCAAAGTAGCAAGCAAGTATTTATAATGTGATAAACATTGTAAAGGAGAAATTCAAGACGCTATGGCAGGCAATAACCCCAGTCTGGAAGTGAGAAAATATTTACTTCAGGAAGTAATATTTCAGCTGAGACCTAAGAGCTAAGTAGGAGTTGGTTCCATGAAAGTGGGTGGCAGAGATTATGAAAGTTTTCAAGGCAGGGAAAAGCAAGGTGCTTTAGAGAGGATGAAAAACAAGATAAGACTAGGGAGACAGTCATTAGATTATTCGGGTCCATGTTGGCTTTGTAAAGGAGTGTGGACTTTATGCTACAGTCAATGGAAAGCTGTCGGAGGTTTATTGGCAGGGGTCCAATATCAATTTTATAAAAACTGCTATGTCTGATACACCTAGGAAGGATGAGAAGACGGGAGTGGAAGGCGAAAGACCATATACAACACCTTGTTAATTACCTTCCCTAGAGCCACTTCTCTACTTCTTCCTTGTTAAAGAGCCCCAGTGTTACTCACATTTCTCTGAGTAGATGTGTCCTTAAGTCCCAACTCCAAGCGATAAGTCTTGACTTGTCTAATCCAATCATGGAGGTCACATTCCCCTACCCAATGACTGTTAGGACATGTGATCTAGATCTGGCCAATGAAACACTGACTGCTGGGGGTAAGAGGCCAGTTTTGGGAAGCTTTTTCTTTCTTTTAAAAATAGATAAAAGACAGTGACAATCCCCTTCCTTCCTTTGGATGTTATCCTTTATACGTGATGACCAGAGTTGCTGTAGCTGTCTTGGGACCATGAAGGCCATGAGCCCAAGATGACAAGTTAACATGCTAGGGATGTAAGAGCAGAAAGATGGAGGAACCTGGGCCTTGGAAGATGTTAAACCAGTCAATTAACCTATTGTGGAATAACAGTGTCTCTGGCTTCTTTTTTATGTGAAATAAAAGCATCCTGGTTGGTTTAAACTAGTTAGGGTGTTACTGAATTAGTCCAATAAAAGATTATGGTGGCTCAGATTAGGATGGTGGTAGTGGAGATGAGGAAAAGAATACAGATTTGACTGTTTAATAAAAGTGCCGGAGCTTGGTAATGCTGGGGGCAGGGGCAGTGAGGGAGAGGCAAAGATAATCCCAGGTTACCGGCGTGGTGACTGGGAAGAAAATGGTGCCATTATAGAGACAGTATAGTAAACACTAGGAAAGAGGTACATTTTTGGGACTTGGAGTGAGGGGATTGGTGCAGTAGGTCAAGATGAGGTGCCAGTGAAAGCAGAACTGTCTAAAAGGTGGGTAGGTATCCTATGACTCTGAAAAACACCTTTGTTGCTTCTGCTTTCCAAAGTGGTAACAAGGATGACAAGCCGTCTCAATGAATGTGGAATGTGTATGTTGCTGGAAACAACGGGAGAAAGAAGTTCACGATGGGAAGCGTTTCCACCCCTCCTCAGTGCGGCTGTTTCAGTCCTCCTCACCCCCAGTGAGAAGTGGACATAATCATGAAAGAAATTCCACAGAGCTCTGCAAAACGCTTACACCTCACCACTTGAGGTGAGACGCAACCAGCTGCCTCCTCAAAGCTCTCTTTTAACATCTGATCTGTGCAGAAATCCATCTCTTGGGAACCACAACCAAGCCTGGGAACAAAGTAGGCTGCCAGAGAGTTCTTGCTAGGGAGCTACGAGAACTGGACTGCACATTAATATTGGCTTACAAAATGTGTCTTTCTTTGCAAAGCCACTGAGGCATTACATAGAGCAGATGTGAAATTACCTGTCTAGTCTCCAACACAGCCACTCCAGTCCTCTTTGGAAAGCATGCCCCAGGCACTGCAAGTATCTGGTCAGCTCCCCAGGCCTTCAGCTAGACACTATACCCATAGGACAAAGGTTGTGTGGAGTGTGGGAGGGCCTCAACCCCCCCCTGCTCCTAGAAAGATCTCCCCAGTGTAGCATAATAATCTCTATACTCTACTAGGTGCTGGAGTGGGATTTTCCACTTACTGTTCCCCCTGACTCACTCCTTTGCCTCCCCAACTCAATTAAGGATTTTTATCTGATATAATATAAAGGCACAGGCTTTGGAGTCAGTAGACTAGAATTCTAATTTTGAGTAGACCAGAGTTCTAATTACTAACCATGGGACCTTGGCCAAGGCAAATTAACCTTCAGGGCCTCAGTTTTCCCATGCGCACAATGGTAACAACATAACAGGGATAATACCTATCTCACAAGGTGGATGCAAAGAAAGCCTTACGCGTAAAGAAAGCTTTGTGTCCCTTCATCATCTTGGCTGTACTCAATTTGCTAAGATCACTCTAATACTTTGGGGTGGGTTGGGGGCAGCTGTACCAGAGTGGAGCAGCCAGGACAGCCATCAGCGAATGTTGCCAGCCATTCCAGGATGCATTTACTCTCACCAGAAAAGCCCGGTCCAGCACGTGTCCAGGAGTGTCCACTTGGTTTTCCAATTGAAACCTTTTCTTCCCTCTGACCTCAAAAGAAATCTTCTTCTGGCTTTCCTGACCTTTCGTTGGTACCTCAACCACACCCTTGGGCTTCTTCTTGAGGTTACTTTTCCGAGCCACTAACCAGTGTCCTCGGCCTGTAGAGAAGATCAGAACAGTGAGGAGCAAACTTGTTCAAAGCCACAACTAGTGGCACTTACAGAATATTTATCTGTAATACTAAAACCAAAACTATTACCTAATATGCACCTGATACTGTGCTACTGCTGACAGCGGGGGGCAGGAGGGAGGAGGTGACTCCATACCTATCTCAATTAATTGGCCCCCAAATCCAGTGAGGACATGTTACGGCCCCCATTTCACAGATGAAAAAGCTAAGACTCAAAGAGGTGGAATGGCTTGCCTAATTCCTTCCTCTACTTTTTTGCCTCTAAACTCGAATTGTTCTTCAAGACCCCAGATCAAGTATTTCCTATCTTGCAAAGCCTTTACTGTCCCCTCAGCGGAGCTGATCATTCTCTCCTGTGCCAGCTAGTTACTCTCCCATTCGTCATCTCTTGGGTAAAGTTCAATGTGTGACATCTGCTCAACAGGCTCCATCTTCCCAGACCTGACCCTGGATCCCATCATTTTAGGGGAAAGATTGCATCAGAAGCTCAGGATAAGAAAATGATAGGACAGTTGTCATTAAAAAAAACAAAAAACCCAATGATACAAGTTCACTGTAGAAAGAACTAGAAAATGTATATAAGTAGAAAGAAGAACATGAGGTTAACTAGTAAACTCACCTAACAAAAATCATGATAACATTCTAGAATCTGTTCTCTCCATCAGCCCAGTGAATACTGCAAGGTATTCATTGCAATCTGTAGTTATTTTATTTGTTCACTTGTTTATTGTCTTTCTTGCCCTCTAGAGTGGGAGCTCTGCAGAGCACAGACTTTGATGCATTCATGGCAGTATTCCCAAGGCCTGCACAGACCTTACCACACTATGGGTGCTGCTGCATGAATGGCAGAACGAACCCTGAGCCACAGCTCCCGCTCACAATCATCCATTCAGACTTTTCCTGAGCATCTACTTTGTGCTGGGAGCTGAGGCTATGGAGATGAATAAGATAGAGGCCCTGATTCAAAGGAGCTCAATAATATATGGGGTGCTGTGGAAGCCCAGACAGGGGAAGCCTGGGGCATGAGCTAGATTTAATAACTTGAAAGTTGACTAGGAAGCCTGGGCAGAGGGAAGAGCCCAGATACCCAGAGGTATGAAAGATTGGGACCACGCAGGAGAACAGCACAGAGCTGTGGGACCCAGCTTGGTGCCTCTAACCACTGGCTCCCTACCAGCGCAGCCCACCACCCCTGCCTGGGGTGGTTGCCCTGGCTCACCTGACCACTGCGACGCATCCTGCCCCATGTCTGATGTGAGCCAGTTCCCATTCCTACTCTGGGCCTGCCATTCCTGGCACTCCATTTCCCAAGGCTGCCCCCATCTGGGGCATGGTCCTTTGTCCTATGCCAATAGCCCTGACTCATAGAGACTCCAGTCTGAGTAGGTGCCACAGCCCCCAACACAGGCAGAAAGGCGGGCCTAGGGTGTGTCAGGAGATGAGCATGAGGGAAGAGAGATGAAGCTGGGAGGTCAGCAGAGTCAGATCATAAAAGGCCTTGAGGACCAGAATAAGGAGATTGGGTTTTAATGGGGTAGGCTTTTAGAAGGAACAGTATCCATGGGAAGGTTTTTTTCCCCCCACCCCAAATTTTTCATTTTGAGGTAATTTTAGACTTCTAGAAAAGCTGCAAAAATAGTACAGAGTTCCTGTACAACTTTCATCCAGTTCCCCTAAGATGTTAACATCTTATATAATCATAATACGATGATTGAAACCAAGAAATTAACACTGGTATAACATCAGTAACTAATCTACAACCCTTCTTCAAATTTTGCCAATTTTCTCACTAATGTCCTCTTTCTGTTCTAGGATCCAATCCAGGATCTCATATTTCATTTTGCTGTCATGTCTCCTGAGTCTCCTCCAATATGTGACAGCTCTTCAGTCTTTCTTTTTTCTTGTGTGATCTTGACACTTTTGAAAAGCATCAATTATTTCGTAAAATGTCCCTCAATTTGAATTTGTTTGATGATTTCCCATAATTAGATTAATGCTTTGCTCTTTGGAAAAACTGCCACAGAAGTGATGCTGTGCCTTTGTCAGCACATCATATCAGAGGTACACGATGTTAGTATGTCTTATTACTGGTGATGTTAATTTTGATCCCTCTAGTAAGATGGTGTCAGGTTAGTTTCTCTACTGAGAAGCTGCTGTTTTTCCCTTTGTAATTAGTAAAGATACTGCGAGACTATGCAAATATCTTCTTTCTCATCATACTTTGACCCATTAATTCTAGCATCTGGGATGGTTAATTTTATGTGTCAATTGGCTAGACTATTATAAGTAGTTATGCAATCAAGTACTAATCTAGGTGAAGGTATTTTGTAGATGTGGCTAACACAATCAGTTGATTTTAAGTAAAGGAGGCCATCCTTGATAATGTGCATGGGCCTCATCCAATCAGCTGAAAGACCTTAAAGGCAAAAACTGAGGTTTTCCAGAGGAAAAAGAATTTTGCCATAGGACTGCAGCATCAGCTCTTCCCTGAGTTTTCAGGCTGTCTGCCTTATAGATTTTAGACTTGCTAGCCCCAATCATTTTATAAGTCAATTCCTTGAAATATGTAATATACAGAGGGTGCCAAAAATATATACACATTTTAAGAAAGGGAAAAACTGTATTAAAATTGTAATACTCAATATATACCAATAAAAGATGACTACAAGTCATGTTTGACTTCTGCAATTACTAAAATAAAATTATTAAAAGTGGTTACTATCCATGTAATTTTAATAGTTTTTTATTTTCTTAAAATGTGTATACATTTTTTTGGCACCCTCTGTATATGTGTGTGGGTCTATATATATATACACATGTATGTATATGGAAACAGAACCAGTAGGAGATACACACACACTGGGGTGCCAAAAAATGTATACAAGTAGACACTTTGCTCAACGCTGCTCAAGCAGTAGTTCGCCATAATCAGAAGTGTCTGGATGCTGATAGTAACCACTTTGAGCACCTCTTATAATTGCAGAGTCAAACGTGATTTGTATTCATCTTTTTTCATTGGTATATATTATTACAATTTTAATACAGTTTTCCTTTCTTAAAATGTGTGTGTGTGTATATATATATATATATACATATATATATATATATATATATATATATTTTGGCACCCTCTGTATATATTTTCTATTGGTTCTATTTCTCTGGAGAACCCTGACTGATACAGCTTCCATAGAAGTTTCTTGCCTGTAAAAACTATTACTGTGATTTTTTTTATTAGTTTCAGGTGTACAAAGCAATGTAATAGTTAGAAATTTAAACCCCTCATGAAGTGAGAACCCATCCCCCAAGCTACTACCCCTCTGACATCTTATAAAGCTGTTATAATACCATCCACTATCTTCCCTATGTTGTACTCCACATCCCGTGACTATATATATATATATATATATATATATATATATATACACACATATATATACCTATATATTTAGTTATAGTGACATTCAGTATTATTTTACTTCAGCTATTCAGATGTATAGCGAATTGTTCAGGCATCTACACAGTCTATGATGTGACCCCCCTGATAAGTCCAGTGCCCATCTGGCACCTTACATGATCTTTACAACATTGTTGATTATATTCCCCGTACTGTATTAACTATCAATTTATATATATATTTTTAAAGATTTTTATTGGGGAATTAGGGGATGGGAACAGCGCTGGGGAATTGGGGGAAGGGGAACAGACAAGTTGCTGTCGTCTTGTTCCTCAGTCTAGTTGTGGAGGACGTTGCTTCACTGGCCCAAGTTGGCACCATCATTGCGCTCTTCCTGGGTGAGGCAGATCAGTCGCTGGCTTCTGGACCGCCGCTCACGCTGGCTGCTGGCTACTGGCTACACAAGGTAGCCCATGGCAACCCACTGCAGCAGGGGCTGCAGCCTACGCTGCCATGGCCGGCGATTCACAGCAGCCCAGCTCCAAGATGAGCTGTTGTTCAGCATCTTAGCTGTAGAGGGCAGCGTCACTGGCTCTCATATGTGGGATCTGAACCTCTGGCATCCCAAGCCAGCTCTTAACCAATGTGCCACTTGGCCGGCCCTCAATTTATATTTCTTAATGCCTTCACCTTTTTCACCCAGACCTTTAACCCCATTCCCATCTACCATCCTGATAGATCTAGTACCTATCTGGCACCATACCTAATTATTACAATCTTGTTGATTATATTCCTTACCTTATACCCTACATCCCCATGACTACTATATAACAACTAATTTGTACTTCTTAATCCCTTCCCCTTTCATCCATCCTTAACCCCACTCCCGTCTTAAAGAAGCCCCTCTAAGATTCCTTGTAATACTTGTTTGGTGGAGATGAACTCCTTCAGCTGCTTCTTGTCTGGGAAGCTCCTTATCTGTCCTTCAATTCTAAATGACAGCCTTGCTGAGTAGAGCCATCTTGGTAATATGTCCCTACTTTTCATCACTGGGAATATTTCCTGCCACTCCCTTCTTGCCTGCATAGTTTCTGCTGAGAAATCAGCTGACAGTCTTATGGGGGCTCCTTGTGGGTAACTAACTGCTTTTCTTTTGCTGCTTTTAAGATTCTCCCTTTGTCTTTAACCATTGGCATTTTAATTATGATGTGTCTTGATATTGGCCTCTTTGGGTTTATCTTATTTGGGACTCTGTGTTTCCTGGGCTTGTATGTCCATTTCCTTCACCAGGTTAGGGAAGTTTTATGTCCTTATTTCTTCAAATAGGTTTTCAATTCCTTGCTCTCTCTCTTCTCCTTCTGGTACCCCTATAACACGAATGTTAGTACACTTGGTATTGTCCCAGAGGCCCCTTAAACTCTCCTCAACTTTTTGGATTCTTTTTTCTTTTTGCTGTTCTGGTTGAGTATTTTCTGCTACCTTATCTTCTACATCACTGGTTGGATCCTCTGCTTCATCTAATCTACTGTTGAGTCCCTGTAATATAGTCTTCATTTCCATTATTGTATTATTTCTGACTGGTTCTTCTTTATGGTTTCCATCTCCATTTTTATGAGATCATTGAGCATTCTTATAACCAGTGTTTGGAACTCTGTGACTGATAGACTGCTTATCTCCATTTTGCTTAGTTTTTTTCTGGAGCTTTGTTCTGTTCTTTTATTTGGGACATATTTCTTTGTCCCCCATTTTGGCTGCCTCTCTGTGTTTGTTTCTATGTATTACATAGGGCTGCTATGTCTTCTGGTCTTAGTAGAGTGGCCTTATGTAGTAGGTGTGCTGTGGGGTTCAGTGGCGCAGTCTTTCTGGTCACCTGAGCCACGCACTCCAGGTGTGTTCCTTTTATGAGTGTGTGTGCCCTCCTCTTATAGTTGAGCCTTGGTTGATAACTGCACATCAATGTGAGGGACTGATCTTTGGGCTCACTGGCTGTGAGGACTGGCCTTGATTACAGTGGAAGAGTTGTTGTGCAGGTGCTTATCCTACAGAGTAGGAACTGCCTCAGCAGGACTCTGGTGTCTGCCCAATCCGCCCCTTGGGTGTGTCGTACTTGGAGACGGCTTGGTGATGCTCTACTGTGATGTTTTCGTTTTTGTTTTTTATTTTTGTACTGTGATGTTTTAATAGTGATTTTCTATTTCCTCATTCCTTCTACACTTGTTAACTGGAATTCTACTGTAAGAAAGAGTTGTTTCTTCTCCTTCACTGATTTATGTATTCAAATATTTATATCATTATGGGCTCATGGGTGTTTACTTATTCTATGGGTCACAACCCAATTCTACTTTTATTTTGTTGCTCATATTGTCCCAGCTTTATTTTTTTACTTTTTATTTTTAGTTTCAGGTGTACAAAACAATGTAATAGTTACACACTTACAACCCTCAGTTTTGGCCACTGGGCGCTCCTTCAGTTTGGCTCTTATGTCCTTTTGACACACCCCAATCATTTTCCTGAGTGTTTCTTTATTTTCTGGCACCATATGATGCTTCAGGCTCAATTTGTATTTTTCCTGCCCCAGCCCTAGACACAACTTTTTGTCTGAGGATCCCTAGCTTCTTTTATCGGAGAAAAGAATTTAGAAACCAAGATCTAGGTGCCAGTATTCTCTTCATGACTGGGGTGTCATTACTGTCAGAGAACTAGGGAATACACGTACCTACACTAACACAACAGATGCATTTATTTCTGTATTTATTTCTCTATCTGTCCATCTGTGCGTAAATGAGCAGGGTATGAATATGAAATCATGAGTCATACTGAGAGCTCCATGGGAGGGTTTTAAACAGGTGGGTGGTGAGAGAAGGTCTCTATGTGAAAAATGAAATCACTCTAGAGAGGTGGGGAGGACAGATTGGAGGAGAAGTTTCTTCCAATATGACATGTATTGAGTGACCAGCAAGTCACTTCATCTAGGCTAAACAAAGGGTACTTCTTCCTTGCTTACTTTTTCAAAGCAACAAATCCAACCCGTTGAACCCATATGTCTTTGGTAGTGTCCCATATATAGGCCTCTGCTCAGTGTTACCAGGAGTCCCCGCCCCGGGGGAGCTTTTAACTAGATAAATATTTGTAAAACTACTTAGTAGAATCAAGTTTCAGCCATTTTATTTAGGAGCCTGGCAGAATATAATTAATCATCAAATAAGAAACACAGAGAGGGAGAGGTGGCTCACAAGAGAGGATGGGCACTGAGGGCTAGAGTAGCTAGGCATGTGGCAGACGTTAAAGAGGAGCTGGGCTTTGTGGGATGGGGAGAGCTTGGATAACTGGAATGAGGGGTGGGACATTCTGGGCAAATAAAAAAAGCTACGCGAAATGAGAGCATAAATAAAGGAATGGGGTGATACAAAGGATAAGGGGAGGTTAGACTCTGTAGATAGAACAGCAGGTAAGAGGGCCAGCAATGAGAAGTCACTGGACAGAAAGGAAAATGGTTAGATGTGTGCTTTAGAAGTCTCCCTGAGGCTGCTGGATGTTGGAGGAAGCTGGACTCACAGGGATGGGACTGGGTGGGGCAGGGAACAGTAGTCGTGGGGCTAAAAAAAAAAAAGTGGATGTGAGAGACATTCTTAAGCAGCAGCTGGGTATGACGCAAAGGTACCAATTTGAGAAGTCACCTGACCTTCCTCGGGCATCCGAAGCAGATTTTTAGCTGGAAAGCAGTTGTTCAGGTAAGGCTTTCCATCATCCAGCTTGTAGATTCTTGAGAAGGCCATCTCCCTGAGAGCCGAGGAAGTAGAAGAGTGAGAAGGTGCTGCATTGCTCTCATCCCCATGTGGCCCCCCAGGACCACCACACCATACATACACCCTATTTCTGAGACCCTAGAGGCCCACTGCCCTGCTTCAGAAATGGGCTGGCCCTTTAAATGAAGAGGGAGACAAGGCCCTGGGTTTTCTGGTTCTAATCAATCCTAACCCAGTGGAACACTAGCAAGAGCATCACCTTTGGGCTCAAGCAAACCAGGTTTGAATACTGGCTCTGACTTCCCTTGCTCTATGAGCGAGAAAGTTATTCTACCCCTCTGGGCCTCAGTTTGCTCACCTGTAATATGGGTAATAACATCTACCTTAATAGACAGATGAGAGAATCAAATTAGAAAGGTGGTGCCTGGTACATATTAAGTGTTCACTAGAGATGTTCTTTGTTTTAACAGAATTCAAGGAAGGGGGATACGTATTTTAGGCAAGATGATAGGAAAATAACTAAATAAATAGGATTTTAGGGATGAATTGAGTTTGCTGATAAGAGAGAAGGATAAGCATTCTAAACAGAAAGGCCACAGGACTGAGGGCATGGTGGTAGGCATGACTGGCACAGTAAAGAAACCACCTCACCCAGGAAGGGGATGTGTTTGGGAGTCTTGGACCAAAAGGCTGGGCAGGGAGGATGATGCCTGCTCCTGAAGGGCTTTCAGTGCCGGGCTAAGGGCTTAGGGGTCACCTTGTAAGTAGCTGACAGCCATGGGGGATATCTGAGCTGAGCAGGGCCATGGCTTAAGCTGTGCTTTAGAAAGAGAGGTCTGATAAAAATAATGCTAGGTGAAATGGATTCCATTAACTGGTCACTGAGTCATGACAATTCCCGCTCTGAAATACTGGTCTAGTGTACTCTTCTCTGTCGCTCACTGCTTTCTTTAAGTCTTTCATCACCCCCCACCTAGAATACTGCAGATCTTCTGACTGGGTTCCCACTAAGCTCGAGGCCAAACACTTGGGCCTGGTCTGATGGAGTCCAATGTCCTAACCTTCCCAGCACCAGTCAACCCTACCTCAGGCTCACAGAATCATCTTCTAGTCCCAAAACATACCATTCACATTTAGTCTTGCCTGCCTTTGCTCTTGGTGTTCCCTGAGCCTAAAATAACCTTGTCCATCTTGTTCATCTGGTTGATTTCATCCTTTAAGATTCAGCCCAAATGCCCTTCTTTTAAGAATAAATCTCTAATAAAAGTTCTACATTTCTTAAACCTTGAGCAATTAGAGATTCAAGATTTTTCTATCAAGGGATCCAGTCATTCCCAAATCTGCTTTGGGACAACTTCAAACACCTTGGGCTAGCAGACGTTTGGGAACCTATAAGCTCTTAGACCATGGGAAGAATGTGGGACCCTCAGATGGAGGGTCTGGGAACAGATTCAGTACAAGGAAGGAGCAGAGTGGGGGGCTGGGATCAGGTATCCTCAGAAAACGTTTCCTGGAAGTGACAAATATGAACAGTAGAGTGGTGCAGTAGGGAGGGCAACAATTTTGAAGGCAGGAGGCTTAAATTTGAGACTAGTTCCTACCATGAAGCTGAGAAACCTTGAGCAAATCAGGTTATCTCTTTGTGCCTCGGATTTTTCACATATAAAATGAGGATACAAATCTATGCCTTGGAGAATTGTTGTAAGAATTATATGACGTAATAAATAGAAAAAAAAAAAGCTTCTAGACCCAGTCCAGATGCCACCCCTTTCACAAAGCCTTCACTGAACCTTCCAATGGGAAATAATTGCTGCATTATATGATGTAATAAATAGAAAAAAAAAAACTTCTTTCTAGACCCAGTCCAGATGCCACCCCTTCCACAAAGCCTTCTTCACTGAACCTTCCAGTGGGAAATAATTGCTGCTGTGACCAAACGCTGGAGTATTTCTTCTGTATCTCTTTCACTGTGGAGCTTTTCTACCTCATATGATTACTAACAATCATGAGGGGGCTCCTTCACTGGTCTATGAATCTCCGAGTCTGGAAACATGTCCAATTCAGTCTCCCTTCCATCCTTGGAGTGCTCATAGGAAACACCCAATAAACATGTGTGAGCCAAATGAAGGATATAATGCTATTTCCAGGGCCCAAGGGTTTTTATACATATTTCTGAGCTCCCTAATTAGGCTCTATGCACCTCCAGGGGAAGGACAGCACCTATGATGTTCATCTCTTTATTTCCAGCACCTTACACAGCACCTGACACACTACAGATTCCATAATTATCTGTGGGATAAGTGAGAGATGTTGGTATCTCCTTTGGTCCAACATAGGGCACTAAGAATTTCCTGATCCTTGACCACCCCAAAAAGGGTTGGAGGCCCCACCTACGTTATGTGATCCCACGACAACCCGTACTTCTCCTAGTAGAGTACTTATCACTTTATTATAACTGTTTGCTCCCTTTACTAATTCCCACCTGCGACAGGACCTATGATACCTTATTCACCTATGTAATCCCAGAGCTTAGCATAGAGCCTAGAACTCACTAAAAATGTGTTGGGAAGATGAATGAATTGATGGATGGATGGAGAAAGATCAATAGTCATTCAGTCATTCTGTCTTTTAAGAAATCTCTCTTGTGACCAACCACACCTACCTGCCAGGCAGGTGAATGAATGAATGAATGAATGAGTAAATAGCTGGCTGGGAAATGTTAGAGATGATGGCTGTTTGAGAAGGCTCAAGTAACTTACAGAATATAAGGACCTTGCTTCTGGTCTGCAAAGTACTTACTTGTCCTTTGATCTTGGGAAAAGTCCCTTGACTTCCTTTTTTGTTTGTTTCTTCATCTGTTTCTTCACCTGTAAAACAGATATAATACTCCTTAGCCGCCATTCAGAGCTCTTGACCTTTCTCATATTACCCTACTGTGAACCTTGTGCTGAAAAATGTGTCTCACCTGGGGCCTCAAAAAATACCACAGGACTAAAGAGCCCAGAAATAGATTCATATAGCTGTAAAGACGGAGAGACAGAGACGTAGATGGGAAGGTGAAACAGGAGAATAATTTTATGACAATGGGGTGGGGCTAGAGTGCTTAAATGAGATGTGCAAATAAATAAGGAAAGGGTTGGCTTACATAATCATTTACACAAAATAAATTTATGCACAGTAACAGTAGCAAAAGCAAAGTGAAAGATAAGACACAATCTGGGAAAAAATATTTGCTATATACATAACACAAAAAATGAATCAGACTCATGCTCGTTGGGGACATACAGACCTGTGCACAACTAATCATAGAAATTCCAGTTCTCTATGAGAAATACTAGGAGAGAAGGTGTGGATTTACAACTAATGATCTAGGAAGGGCAGATAGCCCCCAGGTTACGTTGTCTAGAAAGTAACCCTGAGAGAAATATAAACTTTATCTGTATGGTGGAAAACAGAAAGTCCAAGTTTCAGACTTAGGAGTTGCCTGACTAGTTTCAGATACCTCTGTTCTCTATCTCAAACCTGAAGCAGCCAATCTCAATCTATAACGCCTCCCAGCTACACACACACACACACACACACACACACACACACACGCACATGTGTGTGCACGTGTGCGCGGTAATGCTTCTCATCTGCATACATTTGCTTGTCTTAATTCTTTGACCTATCACACTTCTGCCCCTCTTTTTTGCTTGGCTCATGCAGAGAGCTTTCCTGTATGTCCCCTCCTCAGGTTGACCCTTCTCTGTGCTACCACCTCAGGCCCACCTCTCAATGGAGGCACTCTGCCCCACTGTATTACAATGGCCCTCTTACCTGTCTGTTCCCCACTCCAAATATCTCCAACCCCAGGCTGTGAGCCCCTCTAAGGCCAGGCTACCTATCTCTGCCCCCAGCACCTCATACAGCCCATTGAAGAGGCTCAATGATTGTTTACTGAACTAAACTGAACCAGGAACATGATACAATGGAGCACTTCATTTTGTCTGCAAAGAAGGAAGAAATAATGATCCAGGAAGGTTTCACAGAGCCAGTGACAGAGCTGGGACTTGAAAAACGAGAAGTTATAAAAGAGGAACAATAACAAATAGCTCCAGGAGCATCTGAGTGGATCGTGTCACAGAGGTGAAGAAATCTCATCTAATATTATTTAATGATAAGTATCAGATGAATGTTAGCTTCACTAAGACAGGTATTTTGTCAGTTTTATTCAGGGATATGTTCCCAGTGACTAGAACAGTGACTGCTACATGATAAGCACTCAATAAATATTTGTTTAATCATTTGGACACTTATGAGGGACTTATGGGAATGAAAAAACAAGTGATGCAGTGTAACAGAGCATAGTATAGTATAATCCTGTCATGTGATAACTCTAGGTCACTGGAGTAGGAGTTCCATGAGAGGAGAAAACAGTTCTGTCTTGATCCCTCTGTATCCCTTAGTACAGTTCTGGGAAAAATATTTTGTGGGGAAAAGTGAATTAATAAAAGTCTAGAATACTATTACATCCTGAAACTATAAAAGCAGAGTGGCAGAGGAAACATACCATGAGCTTTGATGTTAAAAAAAATACAAAACTAGCTTCTAAACCATGTTCCAATACATGCTATCTGGCCTTGGGTAAGTTCCTTATTTTCATCTGACAGGGCTGTGAGGGGACTAAAATGAGAGGATGGATGTAAAGAAGATGTGGTACTTACAAACACAAATACTCACACACAATGGAGAATTACTCAGCAATAAAAAAGAACAAAATCTTGCCATTTGTGACAACATGGATAGACCTAGAGGGTATTATGCTAAGTGAAACAAGTCAGACAGAAAGACAAATACCGTATGAATTCACTTATATGTGGAATCTAAAAACAAAACAAAAACAGACTCATAGAAACAGAGATCAAGGTGGTGGGGTAGCTCAGCTGGTTAGAGCTTGCACTCTGAATGACAAGAGTGGCGGCTCCATTCCCGCCTGGGCCACTTTGAGCTACGCCCTATTTAGGAAGAAAAGAAAAAAAAAAAGGAAGAAACAGAGATCAAACTGATGGGTGCCAGAGAGGAAGGGGTAGGGGGATGGGTGAAAACAGTGAAAGAGAATGTAGTCAATAATATTGTGATAAGTTTGCACGGTGACAGACCATCACTAGGCTTAGTGTGGTGATCAGATTGTAAAGTATATAAATGTTGAATCACTATATTGTACACCTGAAAACTAATATAATATTGTATACCAATTATACTTACATAAAAATATAAATAAATGCACACAGGGTACTGCCTGGCAGACAGCAGGCACTCAGTGAATGAGTTCTCTACAACAATAAAACATTACTAACGGCTAAGATGAGTCACCAGAGAGAATAACTGGTAGATGCTGTGGGCTAGAAAAGGATGGAGAACAAACTCCTGCCGCCCCTTTGGAAAATCCACATCTGGAGCGTGGGAGACTCTAACCTCTCACGCAAACTAAGTTTCCAGCCGCACCTGCCGCCGGCGACGTTTCCGCCTCCGAGGCGTCCGCGGCGACGACGTCCCGGTCAGGCGGGATGCGCGCCTGCGAGCCTCCCGGAGAACTAGGGGCAGCTCCACGGTGGCGCTTGCCACACTACCTTCTCTACCCGCTTAGTAACCGCGACGCGGCAGCTAGCCTTGTAGGCGGCAACCGGCAGCCAGCGCTTCTAACTACTACAAATCCCGGCAAGCGCCGCGGCCACTTCTGATGGCAAGCTCGCGTCAGCCAGCAGCGAACTACGGATCCCGAAGGACTCCGCGCGGCGCGTCACGCAGTCAGCTTCAGCCAATCGGCTTCGGACAAGTAGGAGTGGGAGGGAGACGCAGAGGCAGACAAGATGTCGGCGGCGGCTGCACAGGGCGGGAGAACTGGTGGTGGCGGAGGCAGTAGTGGAGCTGGCGGTGGCCCCAGCGGCGGGGCAGGCAGTGGCCGTAGCGGCTTGTTGGATAAGGTGAGGAGCCGATCCTTGGAGACAGCTGAGGCCTGGGGAGACCCGGGAGGCGACAAGCCCACCTTCCCATCCCCGCCCCTCTTTTCTTCTGCGGCTTCCCGGGGGAACCCCAGTTTGGCCCATCGTGGGAACTTTACCGGCTTTTGTAGCTTGCTCCTTCCACACCTCAGACCCGGGTTCGTTCCTCTTTAGGTGTTCTTGCTTTCTCGGAAGTGTTGCTGGTCCTTCATGCTGGCCACCGTAACTCGTTAGGATAACTTGATTATGCCCACATTTCAACGTGGCTGTCACTTTTTCCTCGATGGTGCTGCGGGCTGCTTTTGAATGTGCCCATTTAACCGATGGGGACAACTGAATTCCGAAGGAATGAAAGCAGCTACTCGAAGTCAGTAGTCCCCAAACTCCCCACCACGACCACCACCCTTGCGTGTCGCTATAAGATTCCAAACTGCAATTTGGCCTTTTGCTTACTGAAGTTTGTAGGCGTTTGATCACGATACCCGAAACACTGAACTTATTTGTATCTTTTTTTCTCTCACCATCTTCCCCTTTCCCCCTCATTTTCTCCCCCTTTTCTGCCTCCAAGTGCATTCATATTCATGAATTTGCTGCTTGCTCATGCTTGCTTCTTCCCCCTTTTGCCCATTCATTTTTTTTTTTATTTTGTTAACTACGGTCCTAGTAACAAGGGCTTGAAAGAAAAAAAAAAAAGGGAAAATTCTGCTCCTGGGTTGGCCCTTCTTGTCCTTTACATAGATCTTGGAAGAAACAATTGCATGAAGATCTGGGTCCTAGTACTGGTTCTGCCTTGAATTAGCTGTGTGACCTTGAAATATGCTTGTTTCCCTGTGTCTGTTTCCTCATCTCTGAAAGGAAGGACTTAGCCTTAATGTACCCTAAGGTCCTTTCCAGTTCTCTAATTGTAGGGCACTGAGCCAGTTTGATGAGAAATGTTAAGCATGGGGTCTTTAATGTAGTAAATAGGATTTTTTACTTTAATTGAAAACAGCTTTCAGACATCCATGTTCCTAACTCATGGTAGGTGCCTAAGAAATGAATACAGGATCATGTTGTGGGGTTCAGATCCAGATCTTTTTGCTTCTCTTTTTCGGGTGGCATTGGTTTTGAATTACATGGTTGTCACCCTCTTAACACTTCTTAAGGGACGGGAATATGTTCTGGAGGTTGGGATGGTAAATTGCTCCATGACGTGAGAGTACTGGGAATTATTGGTCATTTTCATACACAAATCCTGCCTTCCTGCTGGGTGGTCACCTCACAGCCTGAGCTCATCCTATCTCGTTGACTGCTTTTGTCCTTCCCTCTATTTTTGGATCATCACCAGCAAATATTAAGCATAGGCATGTTGCTAAGGTAGTTGTTACTGAAAATTATGTGGCATCATTGTGTTATTGAAAAACCTGGATTTGGGGATCATAAAATTTGGGCTTTGAAGTAGCTCTGCTACTTTTAAACTGTATGAAGACTTAACCTCACTAAACTTGCCTTTTTTTATCTGAAATGTTAAAGAGTTTTGGGGAGAATTAAATGAGATGATACACATGAATGATCTCTGTAACCTAACCAAATACAAATGTGTGATGGCAGAGGAATAAGTCAAGGCTCCTGCTGTCAGAAGTTAGTTGATATTGGTGAGTATAGGACATGGGGTACCCCAAATATTAAACATAAAGGTATTTTGTGTGCTCAATTGTGTACTTTTACAGAAGTTCAAATGAGAGAGGCAAAATGATAAGGGGGTGAGGGCCCCAGGGGATGACCTCATGTCTGAGAGTGGAGGGTGGGACCTTATGGGGCCTTTGGAGGGAGAGAGAGCGAGAATACACCAATTAAGAATGTCCTTGAGCAAAGATACACAGAAGGTGCCTGATGTTTCTCAGGTAATGAATTGACTGGATGGTTCTCTAAGAGACCTGTGGTGACAAAATTGAGGAGGGCATGGATTGCTTGAAGTAGGAGTAGGAAACTGTTGAAATTTTTGAGACTAACATGGCTTTAAGAAAATTATTCAGATTGTTTGGAGAGGTAGAAATTAAAAGCCTTCTAATAAGGTCTTATACCGTATGAGTGTCTAGGGTTTAATATAAAAATAAAAGACACGTTTTGAGTTCTGGTGCAGCATGTTGAAAGCTACATGGCCTTGCATAAGTTACTTGACTTTACTGACCTTAAATTTTCTTATGTAAACAATGTGGATGTCCATATATACAGGCTCGATGTAAATATTAAATTGTATAGTATTTATATAGTATTAGTAAATGTCATTTGTAAAGAGCTATAACAATAAAATGAAGTGATGAGAATTCCCAGCTTGAATAGCACAAATAGCTAAAAGGCCTCATAAAGGAGCACTTGGCAGAATTAACAAAAAAGTGAGATAGAAAATAAATCAAGAGCTGTTTATGTACTTTTTCTTGGAAAACTTCATTTCTGCCTTACACTGCAGTATTCCCCTTTTGCATTCTCTAGCACGTATGGCACATGGGAATTAAGCTGTCCCTTAATGACATACCGTCTTGTATTGTTATACCAATTTGTATTTGTCCAGTTTCCCATGAGAGGCTCTTACAGTTCTCTGTAGTAATCAACACATAATAAGTACTTGCAGTATTGAATTTAGCAGAGAAAAAACTTCAGATCTGCCTTCTCAGTCTTCAGAAATAGCCTTAGCAATAGTGCCTCTAGTTGTCTGAAAACTTGAAGGTACTTGTGGAAGAGAACATGGGAAAAAAATGTTATCCTCAGTGGAGCAGGATCTGAATGAATAGAAAGCTTTTGCTGTGTGGGAATAAGAAGCTGTTACCTTACAGTCTCTTTAATTTGATTTGTCTTGATTTTTTTGGAGGGTTTTTATTTCCTGCAGCTGCAGTTTCACTTGACGTAAAGAAATGTAATAAAGAGATGCAAATGTGCTTACAGCTTTCCCCAAGCAGATGTGCATTTCTGCTCCAATGAAACTGACTTTAAGAACAAAGCAGTTCTAGTTTCCTGATCTTAAAAATAGCTATACAAATATAATCTTCCAGCTTCCATCACAGAATAACTTAAATCATTGCATTAAGTTATTTTGCCCAAAATACATCGAAGCATTTTGTTCTATGTAGCAGGTTGTAAAGAAAAATTGCTTGCTCAATTTATTTTGGCTATTAAAATTGATATGTGGTATTAAACCATGCTTTCCAGAAGCTGTACCCAAATCCTTTTAACCTGGTAGCTGGATCTCTGTCTCTTGGCTGGATTTGTTTTGGCTGTTAAAATTGTTTTGGCTATTAAAATGTGGTCTTAAACTATGCTTTCTAGAAGCTATATCCAGACCCTTTAACCTCATAGCTGGATTTCTGTTTCTTTGCTGAATTGTTATTAGCTTAATCTTAAAGTCTAGCTTTTATATCTTAATGGTTGAGAACACAGGCTCTGGAGCCAAGGCTATCTGTCTTGCTTTGCATCCTGTCTCTGCCACTTACCAGGTGTATGTTTTTGGGCAAGTTAATACATTTCTTTGTCTCTCAGTTTCCTTATCTGTAATAAATAGTAATTATAAATAGTATTTACCTTAAAAGGTGGTGACTGGCACATAGTAAGTACTCAACAAAATACATATAGTTCCTGCTAACTAACTGGTTATTCTGGGCTTCAGCTTCCTTAGATAAATATTTTTCATAACATGATGTGGAGACTGTCTACATCATACTCCCTTGGGGTTCTAGTTAGAAAAATACCGATTTCTGGACCTCATTGCATACCTGAATCATATTCTCTGGAGGTAGGGCCTGGATGTCCGCATATTTTCGCACTTAGCTGTTTATTTCCTCTACATTTTAACAATTACTCCTGGGTTAAGAATTACTGTCCTAGATGACTTGTTAAATCCCTTCTGGTTCTGACATTTTCAGGTTTTTTGTTTGTTTTATAACTATTCTGCTTAATCAATAGTGGTTTCTCTAACATGTTTGTAATGAGACCTTGAAGCTCATGTGGTTCCAGCCTCATTCTATAGACCTGGACACAGTTGGAAAGGGGAAGATGAAGCCACTTGCCTAAGACTGCACAGTGAGTTAGTAACGATTCCGGAATCTGGCTTCCCCAGTTCTTAACCCAGGTCTCTTACCTTACTTAGTACATTGCCCCTCATTCTGGAGCAGGCCATATGCTAGCTAATGTAGTAGTGGAAAGAATATCTGTTTTGAGATTGGAAAACTTAGGCTTAAGCCTTGGCTTTGTCACCCACCGACAATGTGTCCCCAGACAGGTCATGTATCCTCTTTTACTCTAAATGATGGTATCTCAGCTTGTCAGACTTGTGGATGGTGCACCTGTTTCCTGACCCAGCTCTGACAAACAATGAACAGTTCTGTGGCATTACTATAGAGTGTGTGTCTGTGTGTGTTTAAGAAACAAGGTGCTGGCTTTTTAACTGTTTTGCAGACTAAACTTTTAATAGCATTTCAAAACTCATTTTTCTGACTTTATCAAAATTAAAAACTTTTTTGTGTCAAAGGCCATTATCAAAGTGAAAAGACAACCTACAGAATGAGAGAAAATATTTGCAAATCACATATCTAATAAGAGTCTAGTATCTGGAGTATATAAAGAATCTTTAACTTGATAATTAAAAGGCCAATTTTAAAAAGAATAAAAGATGTCAATAGATTTTATCCATAGAAGACATATAGATAACCAATAAATACATGAAATAAATGCTCAACATCATTAGTGATTAGAGAAATGCAAATCAAAACCACAATGAAA